GTTGCTTGGGGCGGAGGAGCAGAAGAGAAACAGGGCGTTGCTTGTGGCGGCTCCCCAGTAAACATTGCCTGCTTCCCATTGGGCTCACTTAGGCCCACCCAAGTATGCCCATGTGTTTAGGCACTTGTGCACACGCACACACTCACACATGCACACACACACACGCACACACAGACACATGTGCACACACATGCACACACACGCACACAGACATGTACATACACCCATATGCACGCACACGTACACACACACATGCACAGCAAGGGCAGCTTTGAGAAGACCCAGGGATGAGTGACAGCTATCTCTGTCTACCCAACCCCAGTAAGTTTTCTGAAAGAAGAGGACACCCTCCCCTCCCTTCCCCTCCCCTGCCTTACAGTTCAACCATTTTCTTTCAAACTCCGGCATCTGGCCTCCTAGTTGCCTGGGGAGCAAGTGTACCTCAAGATTAAAACAAAAAACAAAAACCCTCTAACTTTTTTCGAAGGATAGGCCTGTGTGGTCTCCAAATTGGAGGCAGACCCCATCACTTCCATTAGAGCATCTTTTAGCCTCGAGGGTGTTTCAATCCAAATAGCTCCCAGGTTCCCTGTAGCCAGGCTGAGGCTTGGCTGCAGAGATTTTGGCTTCATAGAAGATGTTAGGAGGTAGGGGTCTGGAGGTCCAGTTTCTCCTTTTTTGCACATCAAGGAGAGAATCAGACCTTTTAGGAAGGGGGCTGGTTTTGTCCAAGAGTGAGATTTTCTAAGATTTTTCTTTCTTCTTTTACTCTCCCATTAACCTGGTGGGGATCCCCACCCCAACTTGTTCCCACTTTAGCCTCCTCTTCTGTACTGTTTTGTTTTTTAAGCCTCCGTGCCCAGCTTCCATTATGGAAAGTGCAAACAGCATGTCCAGGGCGCCTTAAAAAGGCAGCTAACAGCTCTCTGGCTGCGGTCCTCTTCGCTTGTTTCCCTGGCAACCAGAGGCAGGGAAAACAGAACCTGTCAGATGGAAAATGTCAGTTACAGCAGATCTGGGAGCACAGGAAAGACGCGGTGGGATGGAGCGAGGGAGGAAGTGGGAGGGCCGGCGGGGGCTCACCCTCCTGCCCACCTGGGCTGGTGCCCTCCTCCCAGCGAGCCAGGGGATCAGGGAGGCTGGCTTCTTGAACGAGAGGGGCTCCTGCCAGAGCAGGGAGCTTCAGAGATGGGGGAGGGGAGGGAACTGCCACCTAGGATTAGCAGGATGGTCTTTGGCAGCCGTCCCGCCCAGCTGATTATCACATTGTTTTAAAGGTCACTGGGCTTCTTGGGGGCCCCAGCAATGCATTCTAGAAGCCCCTCCAGTTGAACTTAAAGCTCTGGGTCTGGGTAGCAGAAGTGGGAGGGTTGGGGAAGAAAAAGATATCAAACCCCAGCATCCAAAGACACTGGAACCATATCGATCCCGACCCCTGCTTGGCATCAATTGATCAATGCCCCTGCTGAAAAGAGGAATTGCCCTTTCAAATGGTTGGGAAAGAGGTTGGGAGGGAGGGTTGATATTAATCAAAGCAGGCCCCTCAGAAGGACGGCAGAGCAGCATGGAGAAGAGGAAACAAAAGAAGGAGGTTTGCTCAACAGCCTCGAATATTACTGCGGGAGAAGTGATCAGTTAACGGGACTGGATGCAATGGGGTGTGGGGTGTGGGGTGGGTGCTCCTGAGAGTAGGGAGGGTGTGTGAGAGTGTGTGAGTGTGTGTGTGTGTGTGAGAGTGTGTGTGAGTGTGTGTGTGTGTGAGTGTGTGTGAGAGTGTGTGTGAGTGTGTGTGAGAGTGTGTGTGAGTGTGTGAGAGAGTGTGTGTGTGTGTGTGCATGCAGCATTGGACACATGCTCTCTACAATCTCCTGCTGTTGTCCTCAGACATTCCAGGAGCTTCCCTAATCTCCTGATTTTTGGGAGAAACTCTGGTCCCCCAGCGCAGTGGACCTGAGAGAGTGAAGGGGAGACAGGCTGCGGTCCACAGTCAGCTGAGCCCCTGCTGTGCATTCAGGGTGTCAGATGGTGTTTGCTTAAAATAAAAAAACAACAGCACCAGTGTGTGCGTGTGTATGCGCACGTGTGTGAACGCGAGTGTGTGTGTATTTATGTGCATGCGCACACGTTTGTGTGTATGTGTGCGTGCATGTGCACACGTGTGTATATGTGTGTGCATGTGTGCACACGTTTGTGTGTATGTGTGCGTGCATGTGCACACGTATGTATGTGTGTGCATGCGTGCACACGTTTGTGTGTATGTGTGCGTGCATGTGCACACATGTGTATATGTGTGTGCGTGTGTGCACACGTGTGTGTATGTGCACATGTGTGTACATGTGCGTGCATGTGTGTGCATGCGTGCATGTGTGCACAACAGCTTGCATACAGCAAGCTCCAGAGGAGGAGGAGCCAGAACCACATCTGGGTTCTGTTCATCCTCAGAGGCATGAGTTTAAGCCCCTGAGCATGGGATTTGAGAAGGCAGCAAAGGAGGTAAAGGATGATCACCAAATACAGTGCTGGATTTCCTTGAGGGACACACGGCAGGACACCTTCTGCTGAACACCAGACGTACCAGGACAGTTGAGTGTGGTTCTGCTTCAGGGATTTTTCTAACCCCAGACTGGTCGAATGATTGGCTTTAGGGTGTCTGAAAACGTACTCTCCAGTTTCCTGGTTAGGGGGTGGTGTGTGTCGAGGGGCGGGGTCTGGCCCATAAAGCTGCCTTAGTTTACGTGGGTGGGGCTGGGGATGGGTGGAGGGTCCCTGAAATGACATTTTCCTTCTGGCAAAAGGAGTGTAGAGGTTCCTCAGGCCCTGGCTGGGTACAGGTTTGAGGGCATCTCTTATCTTTTGGTTTCCAGGGCAACCTCAAAAATATATGGCCACCTTAATACCCACTCCCACTTAAGCGTCCTTCCAAAGGAAACAAACAAAACCTCCAAATAGAAGACAAAAAAAACCGCAGCAATTCAACAGCAAACCAGATACAACGGACCCCCCACCTCCCCCCGACATCCAGAATTTATTGTTTGCCATGAAGGTTAAAGCTTCGGGAAACCATGGGTCAGAACCCCTCCCTCGCCTCCCGTTTTAAGGCCGGGTCCTCTCTCTCCGTCGTTTTCTCTCCTCCCAGTGTTTTCTGGGCAGGAATCACCTCTTTAAATCATCTTTGTAACTGGGCCCTGGGGACTCACCAAGGACCTCACAGTCGTTGGCGTCATCTGGTCAGGAGCTCTGTGCAGCTGAGAGAGGAGTGTGACTCGGTGGCCCTGCCACCGAAGATGAGTGTCCAGCCCACGTAGTCCTTGAATGTCTCGGAGACAGCGCTGGGCTGGTGACAGTGGTAAATCACCGCTCCACGCGCCTCACTGAAAGACCATATGGACCTTCTTGTCAGGCTGGGACACGCTTAAATTATGACATTTTTCATTTTGATTGACAATTACCTTCCCCTGGAAGTTTGCGAACAGCCCGGCTACAATTACATCTCATACCATAAAGCGAGGGGAATAGAAGGGGAGTCATTATTTTCTGAATATGGTCTCTGGCAGTTGGCTGAGGAGGTAATCTTTATTCCCACCGCTCCTGCGTTTTATTATTTTATTAAGAGTTAACTCTCGATTATCCACATGTGAGCCCAAGAGACAATCGTATTCCCACAGCTGTTAGGCCTTATTATTTTATTGTTATTAGTTCAGGTTTTTCCCCAGGCTCTATGTGGGACATGAAAAAGAGTCTTGATTGCTCACATGTTTCTTAACTGCCCCTTTTGAATTATTTGCAGTAAATGTTTATAATCTCAATACTGCTCCTCCCTTCTCCTGGGGTAGACGATGGGTGTCTATTTTTTTATGACAAAATATGCATTACATAAAATGTATCATTTTAGCCATTTGAAAGTGATACTTCAGTAGCATTTAGTACATTCACAGGGCTGTGCAACTGTCATTCCTAATTCCAAAACATTTTCATCACCCCAAAGGGAAACCTGTGCCCATTAAGCAATTATACCTCATTTCTTTTTCCCACCTCCCCTGCCACCCCGCCCCACCTCCGCAGCCCTAGGCAGCCACCAATCTGCTTTCTGTCTGTGGATTTGCTTTTTCTGGACGTTTCGTATGAATGGAATCGGCAGTAGGACGCCTTTTGTGTCTGGTTTCTTTCACTGAGCATCACGTTTTCAGAATTTACCCATGCTCCCATGTTACAGCATGTATCAGTATTTCATTCCTTTTTTGTTTTTTTTTTTTTTTTTGAGATGGAGTCTCACTGTGTCGCCCAGGCTGGAGTCTAAACCTCCGGAGTAGCTCGGATCACAGGTATGCGCCACCATGCCCAGCTAACTTTTGTAGTTTTAACAGAGACGGGGTTTCACCATGTTGGCCAGGCTGGTCTCGAACTCCTGACCTCAAGTGATCCACCCGCCTGGGCCTCCCAAAGTGCTGGGATTACAGGCGTGGCCACTGCACTGGGCCACTTTATGATTTTTTATGGCCGCAATCGCGTTTGCTCGTATTATGACTACACCACATTTTGTTTGTCCATCTATCAGTTGATGGCCATTTGGGTTGTTTGGTGCTGCTACACACATCTGTGTACAAGTTTTTGTTTGAACCCCTGTCTTCATTTTGGGAGGTATATTTCTTTTTTGCTTGTTTGTTATTTTATTTATTTTTTTGGTACAGAGTCTCACTCTGTCCCTCAGGCTGGAGTGCAGTGACTTGATCTTGGCTCACTACAACCTGCACCCCCTCCAGGTTCAAGCGATTTTCCTGCCTTAGCCTCCCAAGTAGCTGGGATTACAGGCACCTGACACCACACCCGGCTAATTTTTGTATTTTTAGTAGAGACGCGGTTTCACCATCTTGCCCAGGCTGGTCTTAAACTCCTGACCTCGTGATCCACCTGCCTCAGCCTCCCAAAGTGCTGGGATTACAGGCATGAGCCACCGCGCCTAGCCTTTGAGGGGTATAGTTCTAGGAGTGAAATTGCCGGGTCTTATCGCAAGTCTATGTTTAATTTATTGGGGAAGAACCAAACGATTTTCCAGTTTACAGTCTGGTTGGCTACACGACTTTCCATTCCTACCTGCAGTGTGTGAAGAATCCATCCTCTCCCGTCGCCAGCACGTGCCAGCTCTTCGCTCAGTCAACACTTCAGATCTGTGCAGGGAGATCACAGGATTTTCAACGTCAGCCTCCGGCCCCTTCCTCTATTTTGCCCAAGGCGCTGGTTGGAGCCCTCCCCTGTGTGGCTCTCCACCGGGTCAGGTGATGAAGTGAGAACAGGTTCACAGCAGGAGTGTTGCTAATCCCTCTAACCTGGGACCTGGGGTCCTGTGCGGAACCCACGGACGTTGGCTCAACTGGGAGAGTTGCCAGGTAGGAGGCCCTTTGACAGTCATAAGGGTTTGGGCTTTGGCGTTGCAGTGCCCTGTTGGCCATTATGAGTGGCCTTGGCCAGGTCGCCGCTGACCTTTCCTCTCCTCTTTATGAAATGGTGTAGCTGACCCTCTAGTACCCCCACCCCCATGCCTCACGTCCCACTGATCGTCACCGCTGTTATTTAGAACACCCGGGACTCACTCCCTGCGGCAGGATCCCACCAGGTGGAGGTGCAGGAGACGGTACTGATGAGTTGGTACCTGGGAGCAACTCTCAGCCAGGCGTGCGCAGGCCATGGGGGCACCACCGCAGCTTGTGCTGTCTGCCAGAGCTCCCCAGCAGGATGGAGTGCCTGGTGATCGTGGTGATAATTGTATGAATAAGGCATTTGTATTGGTTGCCTTCCTGTCCTCATCGCCTGTCCCCACTCCTGGATTCCTCTTCCAATTCAATGACTTGCACTCCTTGTCTCCAAGTCGCCTTCTGGGGAGCTCAGCTATGGGTTGCACGGATGGGAAAATCCACCCAAATGGACTCCATGGCTGGGAAGTGAGTGAACCCTTGATGGATAGCCACGGTCCTTGTCACTGTCAGAATGGATTGTGGCAAAGTTTTCGGTTATCAGTCTGAGGGGCCCATCTCCCCACAAGGAGAAGTGAGCTAGAAGCAAACACAGAGGCAGCTTCATTTTAGGACAGTTTCCTTATTCTATTAACAGCTCGGCATCAGATGGAAGCCTGGGGCATTTATCTGTTGAGCGTGGGACACAGCTTGGACAGTGGTTTGCTTTCCTCTCTGAGATGCACTTTTCCAAGGCCAAATCGCAGATAAGCAGGCTTCCCCTTGGAGTACCCCTGTTGAGGCGGGGTAGGGAGGGCCACGGTGCGATGGTGCTGGTCTGGAAGCACACATTGGCTGTAGATAGTTCACACAGTGCATGCTCAGTGGAAAAGCGAGAGGTGTTGTGCCTGTTGAGTCACCGCCCTCTCCCACCACAGGGTCAACCACAAGGGGAGGAAGGAGAGGCAGGGGAAGGAATGGAACCTGATGCTGTCGGTGAACCAGAACCTGGACAGAGCGTGCGGGGCTCAGTGGAGTCCACAGATGCCCTCTCCCAAAATAAGGAGGCTGCTGGCTGGAGCTGAGTGCAGGGAGGGAGGCAGCTTATCAGCTCCCAGACCACACTCGCCGTCCTTCCCTCTGGAGGCACCACCCATTTTCTGTGTGCCAGTAGCAGCATCTTTGAGACCAGAATTAAAGTGCCTGTGGCCTTTAAAGGTGGGATATTTTATATATATATATATATATATATATATATTTTTTTTTTTTTTGATATGGAGTCTTGCTCTGTCACCTGGGCTGGGGTGCTGTGGCATGATCTTGACTCACTGCAAGCTCTGCCTCCCGGGCTCAAGTGATTCTCCTGCCTCAGCCTCCCAAGTAGCTGTGACCACAGGCGTGGACCACTACACCCCGCTAAGTTTTGTATTTTTAGTAGAGACGGGGTTTCACCATGTTGGTTAGCCTGGTCTCAAACTCCTGACCTCAAGTGATCTGCCTGCCTCAGCCTCCCAAGGCAGGAGCCACTGCTCCAGGCCCAAAGGTGGGATATTTTAAACTTGGGCTAGTTTACCATTGACTCAAGAAAGAAGTTAGGTAATCAAAGCAGAGTGGTAAATGGTTCTCTCTCTACCCAATTTTAATTTTCAGCACCGGCTTTCAAGAGTGAGGAGGGCTCAAAAGGACAGGGGGAGGAGGTGGAAAAAGAATGGAGGGGCAGGGTCAAGGAATTGATCAATGGCATCAAACGACCTGCCGTCCCTGAGTTCCCCCTCTTTGGCTCCAGCTGGCAGGAGCTCAAGACTGTTCACCAGTTATCCCAGGGCAAAATGAAAGAGGATTGAGTTTCTGCTACAACCTACTCTGTCCCCCCACCTACTAAACCATATGTGTTGAAGAGCCTCGGCCTCCTGCCTCCCAGACCTCCATCTTCTCATGGGAGCTGTGTTTGCCTCATCCCCAGTGAGATGGACACCCTGGGTCCCATCGGGACCCTCCCTCTGGTCCTCCAGCTGGCCCCTGCCCGGCCCTGGCCCCTGCTCAGACTGGGTCAGGACCCATTGCTTAGCCTGGCCCATTTGCTGGTCATGTCCACTCATCACTTGCTGGCCCCTTGTTCTCTGTGGATGAGTTTCCCCATCCCCAGCTGTCCCCAGCTGCCCCCAGCAGCATGGGTGTGGAGTGTTTGCCGGAGCTGGGGCTAGCAATGGAAACCTCTCCTCTCCTTCCAGAATCCAAGGAGGAGGACCAAGATGCAGGCTGGGTCAGAAAGCGGGCAATGGATGACTCAGGCCTTGGCAGTCAGGGCAAGTGGGTGGAAAAATGCCTAGTTTTGCCCATCCTGAGTGCTTCTGGTTCTTTCCAGTTTCTGTGTGCCAAGTTGCACTGCCAGGGCACTTCAGAACCAAAGAATGAAGGGTTCAGGCTCACTGGGCTCCTGCCCCTCGACCCTCCAGGGTGTCCAGAGCTGCAGCGGTCCTGGGTGTATGCAGCTGCCTCTCCTGGGTCAGGGCGGCTTCCACCCGTCTCCCTTGCTGCCTGGGAATATGATGTTCAGGGCCACAGGGCTGAATTCTCCCTGAGTTCTTTATGTAAATACCCGCTTCAGGGCTGACACCTAGTCCATCATAGCGACCCATCAAATGAACCAGCCGAGCCCATAAATTATTGCAAAAACCATTCCAAACAATAAAGGCAATTTTACTTACTGAACCATTAAATGTACGTACTTAAATTAGACCCAACAAGACATCGTGTGGGGATGTCTCAGGGCCAGGCAAACAATGAGTTTCGAGGAAGGGCTATCTTGTGTTTTCTCCACCTCTCACATGAAATTAATGAGGTGCTTCAATTTAATCATCATTACAATCATATCTTTATTTAGTTACTTAGCTGGGTTTGACCTGCTGCCTCGGGCAGCCTGGATGTCACCTCTCTGCCCTGGGCTGTCCTGACAGCCAGTGAGAGGTCAGCAGGAGGCCGGTGCGCAGATGCCAGGCTGCTCCGGCCCAGGGAGGCAGGCTTGGTGGCTGTTGCTTCTGCCTCTGGGATCTACTGAGGCCAGTCTGCGGTTTTCTCTGACCTGGAGATCAGAGTCCATATCTGGGAGACACACAATGGCAGCTCTTCCTTGCCCACCACGTTGACTCTGACGCAGGGTCTGGCCAGTTACATCTTTTAAATATTTCTTGGATCTTTGTCTCTTTTCTCTTCCTAATACCAGTGGCCTAGTTCAGGGTCCAAACTTTGTGCCTTTGGTGTTCATCCTCCTTCATGCCCTGATGCCAGAGCCATTTCTGGAAGATCTAAATCGAAGCCGCTCACCCAGCTCAGAGCCCTTTGGTGGTACCTGTTGCCTATTGGAGGGAGATGGAATCCTGAGTATGCCATTCAAGGCTCCTTCTGACCTTCCCCAGAGCCCAGTGACGCTCCCTGCCTTTTCTCCTGCCGCTCCCTGCCTTAACCTGTGTAGTCCGCCGTCACCTGCACTGCCGGCTGCTCGCAGTTGTCCCTCCCACGTTCATCAGCTCTCACTTCTACCATATCCTGCCTCTGTGCCCCTCCCACGTCTCTTCTCCTGTGTACCTACAATGTGTCCTTTAAAACACCCAAGGCGCCAGTTTCTCCATGTCCGCCATGTACATTTTCAAATCCTTAGGTTGGGCTAAATGCCCTCGGGAATCCCAGGGCCCCCTTTGGTCCCTCGTGACGGGTTTGGGATGGTTACTTCACAAATGCTGGTCCAGGGGTGACGCCTTTGCTGTGAACCCTCAGCACCTAATGTGAGTCAGGCGCACAGGGACTCTGCCACACCGTCTGACACCGCCCGGCTGCGATGCTCTTCCTCTTCCTGTGTCTGCGATGGGTCCAGAACGGCTCTGACGGAGAGATGCTCCCATGGTCGCTGGGGAGATTGGTGAGGGCTGCAGAGGGGACCAGCACTTCCCACATCCTTCCTCAGACAGTGGTGGAAATTGGGTTATACTTGCATGTGGCTTGGAGGCCACCCAGAAGGTAACAGGACATCCCTGGGGTCAGCAGTGGCAGCCCCTTGGTGCAGATTTAAGAAGGCGCCCAGGACAGAGCCAAGCATCAAACTGCGGGGGAGGGGAGATTACCGCACCCTCTGGGTGGCCACTGCTGGCTGTCTGTGCCCACTGACCACTACCTGCTCCCTATGCCCGTTCCCGTCCAAAGGGGGACTCGGGACACCTCTTGCTCCCTCTGCCTGTCTCCAAAAGCATCACTAAGTGTTGATTAATAAAGTGCAATGTCTTGGCTTTGCTTGCCCCAGTATCAGGCCTGGAAAACACAAACAGACCCTGAAAAGTGCCAGTTGCACGGGTGCTTGCGTGAGCACTCCCTCCCCTCAATGGGGTTGGGAGCACCCTGTCCCCAGGGCATGGAAGGGCCTTCTCTTCTGTCCTCCCATCCACTTCCCCACTCCCAGGGTGGGTCTCTGCATGAGTGTGTGGCCTGAGCTTCTGACAGAGGTAAGATGCAAGCCACATCAGCAATTTTAAACTTTCTAGTGGCCACACGAAATAAGTCAAAAAGAAGAGGTAAAGTTGAGTTTAATAGTACATATGATCTAACCCAGTATCTCCAAAACATTATCACTTCAACATCTAATCAGTGTGAAAATTATGAATGAGGTAGTTTGTGTTTTTTATATCAAGCTTTTGAAATCCCGTGTGCATTTTGCACACCCAGTGCCTCTCGACACAGACCAGACTCATTTCTTGTGCTTGGGATTCACAGCTGTCTCTGATGGGGGCTGTGCAGGTATTAACTGGAAAATGCCCTTTTGGAAGTGAAAATCCTGAATTCTACCACTTCCCTTCAATCAGGCTGGCGCCCAGCATCAGCCATTCTCCTACTGAGCAATACCCAGCTCTGCGGCCAGGAGAGGGAGGGAGACGGGCGGCATAGCCTCC